ACCCGGAAAGAATCATATGATGTATCAAAGTAGATTCTGAATCTCTTCTATTCTAAAACCATAGATGATAGATCCCAAACAAATAAATATTTTTCATACAAAAATAAATAACGGAAAAAAGAGCAAAGTCGGAACGATGCTTACTTGTTTCTTGTCGACATATAAAATCTCATCTTCTGGTAGGAGGTGGTATGTAATCTAGCCGTTCTTTTTCATGATTCTCTCGCTTTGTGTCTGCTTCAAATCCTAAACCTCAAAGCTAATAATGCAACTTTGTTTAGAATGCTAACATAGCACCACTGTTCTTTAAATGGAGTTTGCTCATATTGAAGACATCCCTGGTTGCTTCAAACCTTTCTCTTCCTACAACAAAAATTGAAACGAGAGTTGTCTCATTATACGTAACAGAAACAATGACCAAGGACCATGAAAATGTTGAATCAATGGAGACTAACATCAATTGCATGCAATGATCTGGATATGGGAGATTTAATCTGAGAGGCTTCTGCAGAAGATGGTGATCCATTGTTCCCAGCTGAATAATAATTCACCTACAAAACACACAAACATGAAAAACTAACTTCTTCATTACTGTTTAGATGAAACTTCCCATTATTATCACTATGTACTGTGTGTTTATGCATATGCTAAAACTGGCAAATATCATTACTAAGGGCTCTTGTTTTGCATCTACGACACAAGGAGCTAAAGGACAAGAAGAAGAAATCAAACTGTTCAATAAATAAGCAAGAAGAAAGACTGTTTGAGTGACTTAACCAGATAAGATTACCAATAACTCGAATTCGGAAACATATAAATTGCAAACAAGTGGAAATCTTGACTACATAGAGTACATGAACCAGTCAATAGAAGAAGAGGGTAAGCAAGAAAATCGAGAAAAAAAAACCTGAGTTACCTTGGGTGAATTCGTATTATTTTGGCCTTCTTCAAATAAAGAAGTATAGTAAGCAGGATCATAAATAGAACCACCCAAGATTTCTTCAGCACCTGAACATTGTCTAGCAATAGCAGGAGTAGGTGGATTCAAGAAACTATTCCTTAAATCCGAATCAGTTTCACGAGGTAACGAAGTATCCACAATCGAAGCACCAAGCCTATAAATCTGAAACCACAATAGCGAAGATGATAACCTCACAAAGAAACCAATCATTTCCATCGCCATTGTCAATTTCACTGAAAATATGAAAAATGTTCCATACATCTCAGCTGATATACTCCTGCATCAATCAAAACAATACAAAATCTTATCTCAATATGAACAATACTCCCAAATAATCAATCATTTTGTGAAAATTTGAGAGCAATTATACCAAATCTCTTGAGTGAAGAGTATGAACCATGAGATATCGAGAAGAAGAGCACAGAAAAGAAGAACGGCGTAAGTACGGCCAAGACTTTGGCTATTGCTTTCGATTGCTACAAGAGCAAACAAAGCAATCGCTAAGTTTATAAGCAAAACTCCATTGTATAATGCTCCTAATGATCCGATTAACGCACACCCAATCTGAAACCACCGGAGAAACACAAACAAATTTCAGATACGAAATTCGATGAACCCTAGACTCAAAAATAGATTCCGAAATCAATCACGATTGGGGATTGGGAATATATAACCTGAGCGTAAATAAGGAAGACGGCGAGAGATTGGAGACGAACATAGTCGCGAAGCCAAGGGTGTATTCGATCTCGTAAAGAACCACAAAGCATCATAAATCTCGTCCCTTCATAAAAAGACGATAATATATCTTCTAATGTCGGAACCTTTTTTTCCGGCGAACCGATCAAAACGGAGAAGGACGGAGAGAGAGAGAATCGACGGTGGAGAATTTCGTGAGGAGGAGGAAGAGAGAGTAAAAGAGTTTGTTTGGCGGGATCACATCGAATCGAAGAAGAAGAGGAAAACAAAAAAAAAACCTCCAGAG